TAATTAAATATTTTTCTAATGAAATCAATTGCCCTGAAATATTTTACTCATTTTTTTATGTTTTTCTAATAAAAGGGTCAAAGAACAAAAGAATATTTGCTAAACGGTTACAATGCAATTAAGGCATATAAACTATTTATCCGAGATAAGTGATATGAAAACTTTGTAGCCAGTCAGCTAAGCTTAGTTGCATTTGTGGCCAACTAGGTTTTAAAGTTTCCTTGCGATTTAAAATGTAAATAGCTGGCAATTAGCTGGAAAACGGCGGCATATGCAGGCTTGAAACTGTAAACACAGTGGATCCCACAAGTATGCGCCTGCATTTCGCCGTCTGTCACCTGGCATCAATGCCCCAGATGCCGCAGGCGTTGTTTCCTTTTGCCGCTTTTCCACCGCCCCCTCCCCTTCCGCTTTTCCAACACCCCTCCTCCCCCCACCCCTTTTTAAAATGAAAATCAACAATGCAGGCAGCCAAGTGGGAGAGCTCTCAAAAGTAGGGAGATGGGTGGCTCCTGTGTCCCATTGTGCCTTTGTTGGCCACTTTTTTTCGCCCCCACTGTGTGTGCGTGTGCATGGGGCATTGTTGAAAGTGATGCCCGACTCCGACTTGTTGCCACATCATCATCATCATCATTATCATCATCATCATTAACATCAGCAGTCCAGCACTCGGCCTGTAATGAGTTGCCATTTTATTTTATTTATTTGTCCGCGCTTTGTTTCAGACGACAAACAGCGACAGCCGTGGAAAATTCCTTGCTGCATTTTAAATTCAAATTAAATAATGATTTAAGTGCCCCAAGAGGCTTTGTCAGCACACAAGTGCGCATTAAGGGGGTGCGGGTGCTGATCCGCACCGGTGAAATGTGGAAATGGCCAGGTGCAGGAATTGCCTCAGGTGTGGCGTAGTCAGATACTGAATAATCCCAGGCATTTAAAGGGCTTCAAAAAATTCTCTTTTTAGACATGTTAAGAAATTAAAAACCAAAATTTTAAAACAAAATTTAAATTCAAATTTTTAGAGGCTTAAGCCATAAGACTTTAAAGATATACAACTTTGAAATCGGATGCGTGAAAGAAAAGTTATGGACTTAGAACTGTAGGTTTTTGGTCACTTTTCTGCAAAAATAATATTTTCGGAGATTTAGAAAGGGGTTACATCATAAAAATGACAAAAAATCGACCCGAAATTACAAACCAATCCTTAAACGCAGAGTTTTAGAGACTGAAGCCAAAATACTTTAAAGATATGCCATTTTGAAATCGGATGTTTGGAAGAGAAGTTATGGAATTAAAACTGCAGGTTTTTGGTACCATTTTTACAGTGATTTTTTCGGAAATTAATAAGAAGATATGTCAAAAAAATAAGAAAAACAATATTTTTAAGCAAAATTTAAATTCAAATTTTTAGAGGCTTAAGCCACAAGACTTTAAAGATATACAACTTTGAAATCGGATACGTGAAAGAAAAGTTATGAATTTAGAACTGCAGGTTTTTGGTTACGTTTCTGCAAAGATGATATTTTCGGAGATTTAGAAAGGGGTTTCATCATAAAAATGACAAAAACGCTTTCTTTTTTTTTACAACAAATTGATTTACAAAATAATTATTTTAAAAATAGTTTTTCGGTATTAAAATTAGTTTTCAAAGTGCTATTTCTTTACTTGAAAAACAAAAAATATATAAACAGAAAGAAATATTAAAAGGAGAAATATTTTTTTAATTTTCAAGTTTCCAGATTTAAAACCCATTTATGGTCGATTTAACTACCTGATATATTAATATTCCTCCAAGACTATTTAATCCACATTACCTAATTTGCTAAAAAAAATTTATTAAATTACAAATTGAATTTTGAAAGCCCATAAATTGTAATACTGAGAGACCATTTAATGTGGTTTTAAATACGTGTTTGTGAATATACCCCTAAGATTTGTACACCCTCTGTATTTTTGTTCTAACTCAACTACCATAAATTTCAGTCCTTTTCAATCTCTTACTCCTTTTATTTGGGCTTGACCCAGTTTTAGTCCTTAAGCTGCAATGGGTGTATTCATTTGCAAAATACGCAACTGTCAGGACTCAGGGCAAGGACCTCTTTGGCATGCACACTGGTATGGAAATATACCACTCAATCGGGGGAATTCAAATTTAGAGAGAGAAATAGGGAGATAGTCAGATGGAAAGTTGGACAGTTGGTGGCAAAAGGGCAGAAATCAAATTACAATTTCAATATGCGATGCGTACTAAATGTCTGCTGGTGTCAGTTTTGGCTTTCAATGTGCAACATGCAACTTTCCACTTGATGTTTACAGTACGTATATAGATGTGTTTGTATGGGTTGCTATGCAAGAGTGTGTGTGTCTGCTTCTGGCTGGTACATTTTGATTTGGTGCCACACACACGAAATGGATTTCTTGCCTGTCCATTCAAAACATTTCTATGTGGCGCCACTAGAATCTAGAGATGCGATATACAGGCGAATTTGGTTAGATTTATATCAATTCTATGATTGAAAAGAAATCTATGTAAGTTTCTAAAACCGATGTCCTTTCAAAATAACTAGAATATAGACCTAAAATTCAATAGATACATTACACTGATTTTAAAACTAAATTGTTATTGTTAAAAATATCTACAATAAAATTATTATTATTATTGTTGTATATTATGTAAGGGAGTAGACAATACAATGAAACTTTAAACTTATATTACGAAGAAAACATTTATTCTACTTAAATTTAAGTTTAATCTTTTATATGTAATAAAAATATATATTTTACATAATTCAGATTGAGGTATCTTAAATTTAAATTTTTTTCTTATAAATAATTTAACTAATCGAAAACCATAAGATTGTTACTGAACCAACTAGATCCGCCATAATTTATTGCCTAATGTCAACCGATTTACCATCTCTAAACGCAAATACAGTTTACGTTAGCATTTCGTGTGCGTTTCTCTGTCACTTAATGGAATTTATCACATTTTAACAGTGTGACAGGAGACAGGAGGCTGCTGGCTGCAGGTTCGGACATTTCATCCTGCGAACTTCCCTCGTCCTGGCACATCCTGTGTGTGTGCCCAGGTCCTGCTCATCTGCATCAGTCATTGCCATGCATGCGAAATGCTAACCAACGTGTCACAGTTATTGATTTGGGCGCATAAATAATGCATGGTCAACAAGTGTGCCGGGTTGTTTATTTATTACATGATTTATTCACGCAAACAACGCTCCAATTAAAAGCATTTTTGAGCGATTAAGTGTAATGTCAAATCCGGTAAACTGGCCAGAAAAACTTTGCCCAACTTAACGACTCCAGACGGCGATTATTAAATTAAAACGTGCACGGAAAACTTTCATATTCCAGCGAACGTTGGCGAAACTTTCAACTCGTTCGCTTTCTCACATTTTCTTCTTTCTATAATTTAATTTTCTTTTTTTTCCTACCCAAGTGCAACGCATAATTTATTATACGAGGCAAAAATCTTGTGCACCAAATTTGTCACATGGGATAAATAATAAGAGGAAAAGTTTTCCGCACAAAAAAAAAAATATTGAGGCTAGAGGGAATGAAAGACTTTGGGATTTGGGGCAGATTACTCATACGTCCCGTCGGCATCTTGGCAGAAAAAAAAAAATGTCTCTTATAATAGTGAGATCGGGCGAGCGTGAAATTAGAGCTAAGCTCGGAAAAACGAGGCGCCGAGTAAGAAACTTTATCATAGGTTTATCAGCAATGATGTGGGATTTTCAAAGATAATAGTGTCCTTAAATATTTATAAAAATCTAACAAACTAGTTTATAAAGCGCAAATTTTATCTATCTGGCTACATGTTTAATTATAAAAAAACCAAACGGCAAAGATAATGGACTTATCAAGAGTTTTTTAATATTTATAAAAAACTGTTGTCAATTTTTATTTATTTTCCCACATTTATAAATTCAATTTTAATTCCAAATAATATTAATTACTATACTGTACTGTTACCTACTGTTTTATTTACATTATAAGCATATAATCTACTTCATATAAGTAGTCCCTTTCATTGCCAACTAAATCCAATTATTCGACCCTGATATTGTGGCCATTTTTTTCCTTTTTCTATGCCGTTTTAATGGAGTAACAAGCAAATCGGAGCTAGATCTTTGAGGTTTTTATCGCCGAGACAATTGTCTTGGAACCGCCACTAAATATGTCAAAATAAAGGAAAATTTATACACAAACTGATAAACAGAAATACCAGCACAAAAAAAGGAAAGCCGGAAAGGAAAAAATTCATTGAGGGAAAGAAAAAAAATAAAGGAAAAGAGGGTACGACTTTTTGGCTGGAGGGGTGCAAAAGCAAAGCTGCAACAATTCCTATCTTGACACTGTCATCTATCCGACTGAAACTGGGGAAATTGGCCCGACACCGGGTATTTTCCACCCACCTCCCCCCGTCTGCGTGGAAAACCCTCAAATCTTCATCTCCGTTTCCATCTTGGGCCGTTTGTTGTTGCCTTGGCACGCCTATCACTCGAATTGAATCAAATTACCTTGTAATCTTAACCTTAAGGTTATTTGCCATTGCCCACAAAAAGCGCTTTGTGCTCGACTGCGTTTAGTTACTATTTGAGTGGAGAAACTGGAGAAGAAGTGGAAATTGTGGGGAGGAGGCTTTCCCATTTTCCAGCCCCCGTGAAAGTTGCACCTTTCACACTTGATCGAGTTTATATAAATGGAAATCTAACATTACGTGCTATCATGATTGCAAAGTTCAAGTGAGTTTTGTGATGGGTTTTATTCTTGTTGTAGAACTCGGGGGATTGAGAAAATGTAGCAAGTCAATCAAAACGGTTAAGGAAAATGCTGTAAAGTATATCATTGCAGTTGTCTGATCTCTCAAGTGGCCCAGTTTTGAAATCAGTCTTGCCATCGTCACTAAATTATGGATATCGGGTAAATATAAGCTGGAATTAGTAAAAGCAAAATTTTTAAAATTATTTCTACATTTTTTGGAATGCTCATAACTAATTACATAACTTTATTAACAATAAAAAGGAAACAAAAACTTGGAAACCCAACCAAGGAACCTGAATACCAACTTTACTCATTTATGCCATAGAGTGTCTTCATCAATTCCGGAACATAGTCATCCCACCTGGATAGGAATATATTCCCAGCCACTGGAGTTCCCAGTTCGTATTTCTGAGCGAATTTCATCACATCGAAATTGCTATGACCATCGGCATTACTTAGCTCTATTTTCTTCTCATCAAAATCTAGTTTATCCGATTGCTGATAGACCAGAACAAGATACCGCTGAACGCCACTATCTTTTGGCGGCAGAGGACCAAAGTAATCGGATATGGGTTGACCCTTCATTACATCCAAGCCGGGAACATTAACCACCAGCCAATGAAGCCAAGATCGGTACATGGGATTCTCACGATTCGGAGCATCGGGACAAATCATAACCACAGAGTAAAAGGTCTCAGTATTTGCATTCCAATCGAGTCTGGGCTGGAACTTAAGTTCTTTTGGGGCATAAAAATTGCCCTCCTCAATGTCAAAGGTATTTTCATATTTAATCTGAAGTTTTAAAGAATAAAACAATTTAAAATAAACTACAAAACATTACAACTCACCCTGAGTAATTCGCCAGGAGGTTCATCTAAAATTTCAGGAATCACCTCCATTTCCTTCATTATCCTTCTGATATTCTCATTTTCGTCCTGACTGCGACTTAGGCAAATAAAGCCCACAAACAGCAAAAGTAACCGAAGCAATTTCATTGCAAAACTCTAAAACTGAAAACTCTAGACCGCAACGCACTTATATAGTCGTATTGTCAATAGTAAATATTATTACAATAATTGAGACCAAATTATGGCAATTTTTTATCGAGTTCTAAACAGCTAGGCAAATATTTACAATATATTTTTGTTGATTGAGTAAATTGTAATTGGAGCAATGCAATTGATATTCATTCATTCTGATAACTAGCGGAAAATTACAAATAAATAGTCACGCAGTGTATAAAGTAAGACGATTGCATATGGGAGGTACTTAGAGTTAATTTTAAATCTGACTTTCGATTTGTTTAATTTATAAAATAAAAACAGTATATACAATATTATGAAATAATTTTAATATATGCTTACACCAAACGAAATTTTTTTTTTCTCAATTAAAATGCATAAGCTTAAGCGAGTTCCACAATTTAATGAGTTCGTTCATGTTAAAACAATTAATTCAAACTTAATCTTAATGACTTTTAGCCTTGCACACATGAGTTCATTCGGGCAAAAGCCAAGGCAAAGCTATAAAAAATATAAAAATATTCCATAATAGCTGGGGAAGGATTGCATAAGCTGATGCATTTACATGCCAATTATAAAATATTCCAGCTGCTTTACATGATTTCTCCATGTCGTGGGGGAAAAAATGCGCCGAGAGGGAAAAAAGCAAACACAATTCAGGAGTTGGCAGCATATGCGTCTAATGTGCGCACATTAGCAACACAAATGCAGCCCAGTACGAAGGGTGAAGGATGAAGGACTACGGACGAAGGACGAAGCCCCAGAAATAGTAGAGGAGCCACAGGAACAGAGGTATAGAGAACTAGAGCCAGAACCAAAGCCACTCAAGCAAACGAACGCACTTAATTTATGCAATTTGGTTAACAACGTTAAAATAGTAGACGAGGCCAAGAGGAGCCCAAGGATGCCAGACATAAATCAAAATGGAAACAATAACCCGCCCGCGCAGAATGAGATAGCTGCACAGCGAAAAAAAAGTTGCTGCTTTTATAAAATAATAATTAGATTAACTTGACACCTGTCTGTGACCTTTCAACATCACATTTTAATCGTTAAATGATTAAAAAGAATTAAAGAAAAAATTACAGAAAGCTTGTGAAAGTACAAAATAACCCTTACACTATGTACTTGTTTTAAAAATAAAATAACCATTTTTCATTTTACAGATTTTGATTAATTTATATGATATGATGGCTAATAAATGACTCTTATCCTATTAACCTCTTTCAAAAATAAAAACATAGTTGTTAATTATATATGTGACTTATTTGCAATACAATTTGTCCCAAGATTTTTTTTCTTGTAATGTTCATTGTATTCAATATAAAAAACTCTTGTGACAACTGTCCGTGTCCTTTAAACATGTCACTAAAAAATAGTCAAATGATAATTAGATCACGTCTTATCACATACTTTTTTTTTTGTTTTACAAACAAACGGAAAAAAAAACTTTTAAAAATATTGCAAATTCTCAATGATTATCTCATTAAATCAAAATAATGGGGAAACATGGGGAATAAATAAGGCTGTCATTAATGACCATGTTTTTTTTTCCAGTGTACACACACATGAGCCGAGCGAGATGGGCAGATTGGGTAACTGTAGCGAAAGGAGTAATAAGGATAATGAAGCGGCAGAGTTTGCGGCATGCAACCATGAGGCACTTGCCATGTAAACGATGATGAGCACGATAATGATGGCATTTCAATGAGCTCACACACACACACTCTTGCACAGGAAATTTCCTCGCTTTTCCTGTCGACGACATCGCAATTTCCATCGCCGCTCTTCTTGAACCAATATTTGCTCAAATATTGGCTCATTATTTGACATTATTATAGATTAATTAGCTTATTAATTATTTTAACGCATGGCATGGGGCACTCCACGGTTGTTTGCGACATGCGGCCGAAATTTCAGGAAAAGATATTAATATTCAAGCAATTAGTTGGAAAAAGAAAATATGTAATATAATATATTGGTTTTTGTTTTCTTTTCTGTTTGATTGACTTTCATCCATCGGAAATTAAAGAAAGGTTTTGACTTAAGTTACGTTAAAAGCAATATACTTTTTAATTTTAGAAGAAAGTGAAAACAAATATATTTGAAAAACTTTAGGACTAAAATATTTACAAATTTAATTTGATTTTATACTTTATATTTTAACAAATTGCCAGTCAAGCAATAACTTCAAGAGCCTATATATTCTTTAATCATTATTTCTGGATAAAGCATACTTTTAACCCATTTGGCTAAAACAAAACCATTTCAAAAAGTACCAACCATTATTATGATTTTCCCAATCAGCTAATCAAGCCAGTTCAGTGAGGTGAAAAAGGTATCAGAATCGAACCTCAAGTTAGGTCAATAACCCCACTTGTTCAGCTGCAGCCGCCTTATTTTCATGAATATCCTTTGGGGTTTTATTGGGGCTCCCAACCCCTCAACCCCTTCGAGAACTACTTAGTTTGTTGGTTGCAGCGTTATCTAGTTACTTTTACAAGTTTTCCCCAGCCAGGATTACAACCGGCATCGAGATGGAGTCTGGGTCCAGAGTTGGCAGTTAGCCTGTTCGGCAAAACTTTTCCGTTGCCATGAGTTTTTGTTGCTGCTGCACTAATTTGCGTGACCTTTTTGGGGGTGTGGAGGTGAGGGGGGTTGGAGATTTTCGGATGGCAGTCAACTAACCAGGTAACCCAACTAACCAGACAACAGCAGCCGAACCAAACCGAACGGAGCGGTGGAAGGCAAAAGCCTTTTGAATGGCATTTCATTTGCGACGCCTTTCAACGTTAATGCCATGGAAAATGCATAAATTGTGGCATCCAAGTGCTGAACCTGCAGCCAGAACAATGCTCATTTTCAGTAGGAGTGGAGTGGTAATGCTAAGATATCAGCTCGTTTCATTTTCCAGCTTATCAGGGCAAGAGCTTCACTTGAATGCAGTCCGCAAAATGCTTTCAAAGAGTTTAAAATAGAAGAAAATATCTGTGGAGGAGCATTCATTTAAGATATTCTATGGTTATGAAATAAATGTGCTTTTACTTTTAGGATTAAAGGAAAATTTACAGAATATTTGAGCAACTAAGGAGTGACTATTTATCGGTTCCAGATATAATATATGAAACGGGTGTACATAGCTTAAATATGAAAGGAAAATGTAAAAATAGATTTATGGCTTATGCATTCTTTGTTTTCTATAATAATTGAAAAGCTTTTCTTTTTCTTGCAATGAAAAATCCAATTGAAAACTCTTTTTAAATTAATTACTTATTTTAATGTTAATAAAAACTGAATTTATTGGCATTACTCTTCTTTATTACAAAAGTATGTTATTTTGCAAAAGTCCTATATATTTTGCAAACATATGTTGACAAATACAATAAAATTGTCTCTACATTTCTGTTTCTAACGTGTTTATTAAATAACTTTATATAAAGCTAGCACATCTTCACTTCTAGCATCAAAACGATGAAGCCAATAAAAGAAATCCAAACGGCACACAATTCAAATGGAAGCTTGGATAAAGTGGAGTCAAGAAAATCGGCAGTCAAAGAACATTCACACTTTTCAAACAGAATTAGGCGACTTTAAAGTGAGGGGATATCCCGGCGGGAGAACCCTTTGGAGCCCATTAGCCGATTTGCATATATAAATAAATCAAGTTGATCAAAAACATATATTCATAGTGCACGCACACAGGCAGACGGGCACACAGACATTTACAACAAAACGATTTTCCACTTGACATAAGCTCAAGTGGCCCACGCCCCTCGACAGGAGGAAATTCAATCTGTTCTTTCCATTTAAACAATTTTCGAAAAACTTGTTTATAACTCAATTTTTGCAGACACACACACGCACTCGAAATAACACTTAAATAAATAAACACAAAAAGTGCTTACCCAATGCAAAAGTTGGTAAATGAACAATTCCATTTTGCGATTGTGAATGTGTTTGATTGTGAATGGAAAATGTTTGGGGGGCAGAGTTGAGCTGGGAAAATGGAAAATCCTCTTGTCTGAGTTTTGGTTCACACGCATGTAATACACAATGGTTGTTATTGTTATTGTTAGTGTTGTATTGTTGTTGCAGCTCTTAACATGGCACGCGAAGAATCCTCCAAAAGCGAAATGGATATATCCAGGCGCTTTTAGCGCTCGAATTTGAACTCGGTGTGTTTGCAAAGGAAATTGAAATTGCCAAATGGCTTTTTATGCATCTATGTGTGTGGGCTTTTTGGGGGCGCCAAACTCGACTGGGCGTGGCTGGCACATTTGTGAGTGCTGCTTAAACTTCTTTGCATATTTGTTTTCACACAATTCAATTTGTATCTTAATATATTTAAGACGTTTCAAATGTATTTCGCTAAGTACAAATTTATATCATTCTGGTTTTGATGTTAGTTAGTTCAGCCTATCACTAGAATTGAAATACTTTTTCTTCACTTTATATCTTGTAGTTAATGTCGTTTTATTTACCGAGACGAATACCAATTTTATAATGTGTCCATTATATAAATAAATAAATACTGGTTCAGTTAAATGATATAATTTTCCAATATTTACATATAATAATATATTATATTTATTATATATTATATTTATTTTTGTTTGTCTAAATTTACAAAAAATCAGTGTCCCAACTTTAAATTAAGCTTTCCCCAAAAAGCGGTATACATCAAAAAATATATATTGATAATGCCCCTTTTCGCTTTCAATCATTCGTATTCATATCTGTTATTGACATTTTATGCATGACATTCCCCTTTTTTCAGTCATCCCTTTCAGCATCCTTATTTCATGTCAAGAGAGCAGCGGGCAAAAAAGCTTTGCCTGAAAATGACGCGGGTTGTCATCGTGAATTAAAATAATTGATTTATTTTAACGCAAGTTAAGCGAATAAACAAACTGATGGGAATGGCAAGAAAAAATAAAAGGGAAAACCATGAAAACGGCAACCGCACTTGAAGT